GTGTGTGTGTGTGTGTATTTGTTTTTTGATAAAGGAAGATATAAGTTCTGAATGTTGAAATACTCTTACCTCCTCCGGCAGTGGTTGTAGTAAAACTTGCTGCCGAATTTGTCTAAGTACATCTCTTTGTGAGTCTTTGTCGCGAGATCCCCTCTCTATCTGTAGTTGGTACCACCTTCTCAAATCGTCTGATGATTTTAGTACAAGTGCAGGCATAGCTTCGCCCATCATGATTATTCAATATCAAAATTTTAAATGCAGTATCTTACTTCAATTCTGATTTTTGTTAAATGACCCACTGAAGAACAACCCTGATCCACCCTTATCCTTCGAGTATTTCAATACCACTGACATTGCCGTCCTTCCTTCAATGAGTCTAATATAATTTTGTGATATCCGAATATCTCATTCACAACGAAAGAATATGGTTCTTGAAAGTTTGCGTGCGCTCCCGAACAATATCACAAGTCTTCAAATCTCATCTATATATTGGAATATTCATCAGTAAGAGCTGTTAATTATAAAGACCTTGCTACTATGTAGTTCGTGATTGTCAAGGTGACAAGCCCAAGGTACCAAACTCTCTTGCTTTTTTGTGATATCGCGCCCAATTACTGATGTTGAAAGATAAGGATATACGACGGTAGCAAACTTCACACTTTCCGACAATAAGGCAGTATAAACTCTCAGGATGAATAATTCCCAAACACAATTTACGACGACTATCTGAACACCACATTCTTTGTCGTAAAGTCGTTATCGGAAAAGTAAACCCCGCAGCGGCCCGAGAGCATATAAAATGTGCGATGTAGTGTAGTGACTCACAATGTTCGGTTATGATCAGTTTCATCGTGGCACATCAACACAGGGTTTCCCTCCATACTTTCGTAGTCTGCTGCTATAAGATTCATTTCAATATCGCCGGAAGCAACGAATTTTATCACGCCTGGCAGTACTGAATACTAGTCCCTCCTCGCGTAGTCACAAACTCCATATCCACTCTCGTATTGAATGGAGGTCGTTCGTTTTGAAAAATCTGTGCGCCCGCTATAGTCTATATTCCCGCTATCCTAATTTTAACTTCTGACCTTATCCACATACGATTGAAACGAGAACACCAACACATATGATCGAACAGTGAAAACAAGCAGCCAGATCAGCCACTATGTCTATTGTATATAGTATGTCTATTTATACACGGCCACGAGTGTGTGCGGTTCGTGTTTGCCGCCAGCTTCTAGCGGAAGGCTATCACATGCGCCCCCGAATAGTACTTCAGAAAAATAATCAACAGCCCGAATGCACTCGACACATTCATACAGTAAGAACAAGGCTCAACAGCGAGAAGTCTACTGGGGCTAGTCTAAAATTCATACCCTCTGCACGTGCTCATAAGGGCTCATTGAGGTTAAAAACTCAGTATAGACATTCATCCACAGTAACAACCAGCACAACAACATCCTGCAGGACCCACACATGCGGTGACTTGCGGGCGGCAGATGTATCCCAACAGGTGCAGCTAAGTGGATGGGTAGTCACCAAAAGGTACTGAAGCGTGCGTATGTTGTGTACTCGATTTGCAGGTATACCAAAGTAACGCCGCCTGTGTGATTGCGCTGCAGTGCGGCGCTTTGTTGCACTTGTAGCTATATTATATAAACATTTCGTACAGGGCTCTATAGATCAAAATATATGAACATATTACATGCGCTTTGCGTCGTATTAGGTATCCGTCGTTTATTTCCGTTGTAGTGTTTTTCAATTTGTGGACTAGTGCGTATATCGAGACAACTAGCGATAGTACACATTTATATTATGTGCAATTTCCTCTCGTACCGCTCGTACACGCATAGCAATCTGAAAGAGTATGGCATGAATAAGCTTTACATTCGTAACTACATTAATTAAGTCTAACAGTCTTGTTTCTCGACATGACAAGCTAGAGTGGGATGGATTCCTACTTGGTTCAAATAACCATTGATATGCATATATTGTCCGAACATATACTTCTATGTAGGACATTTGGCAACGACATGCGCTTCATGCCTCTGCGCGATGCCTATGGTACGACGCAGCTGACGTACGCGAAGGGTGCTTGCAGTAGCGATGTATGGGATGTGCTAGAAAAAGCCTCGACTGAGTCAGTCATAAGCATCACCGGGGACGTTCGTTTGAGGCCGGAGGGACAATCAAATGATGTATGTATGGGCTGCGGCATGTGTTCTGGCCTTCGGGGATAGTGTGCTCTGTAGTTCTACACCGCCTCGTACTGTATGGAGGTCTTGAAACCCTCAGCAAATAGTTTTGTGTTTTGATGCACTCTTTATCATCGTATTGACTATGAATTTCGTGGTGGACTCTTGTTTCTGTTGTCGTAGTATCACTGCCGTCGTTGTATTGCCATCACATCTGCGGCAGACATTATCGCGCGACATTGATTTCTTCACGACTGCGGTTATTAGCATCACCCATTTGCACAACCAGTGACTTGGGTTTCATTAGTGCCATCGCTGCTATCAGCAATTACGTTAACACAGTTAGGATTGCTCTCAGCATGTTTATTGCTCTACTCATCAGACTAGAAATGTCCAAGTGCATAGTAACAGAACTTCCTTTTCCTTTACTCCTCTGCAGAGCACATTTCATTCTCTTTGTCTAGCTATTCCATGTCTAAAACACACACAATTACACACATACACACACATATATATATATATATATATATATATATATATATATATGTGCGTGTGTGTGTGTCTAATACGTGAATCAGTTCCAACTATAAGTATTAAATGGTACCAACGGTCGCACAATATAGAATAGTATATATAGATATACCATTTTGCGTACCGGTGAAATGGTTTGAGGTTTTAACAAGGTGTGCCGAACTCTCTGGTCGTAAAGCTGAAAATTTATCAAATTGATCAACAGGATATGCCAACTGGGGCTGTGGAGGTGGTGGTCACCGCTGCGCAGCTGCTTGGGTCATGCGAGAGTTTACCGTTTCCTCTAGATGATAACAATGTGGTATGTGCTAGCATATGAGCCATGTGAATTTTGGTATAGGCCTCAGGACGGGACTACCCGAGACTATTGATGTTTGGTGTTCAAGAGGACATTAATGCAATAGTGTCCTTCTGGGGTTTGCTGTACTGTATGAATCTTTTGTCGTTGCGCACGGTGAGCCTTGTACGAATGATTACTGCGGAAAGCTGGTATGCCGCTTTTTCTCTCCGACACCAAGACACTTGTAGGTGAACAATATCACATCGTTACCATTTAAACCATCAAACTCCAAGAAGGTGGTAGTATCCTTCTGATAGTGCATGGCATTACCTCCTTCTGTAGTTCTACCGACCTTATTTAGATTCTGCACGGAAAAGTATAGACTATCAGTGTCAAGTTGTTATGTTTTGACACTGAATGTTTCTGTGTTGTTCGGATTAGGGCGCCAACATGGCCGGGATTCGTATGGAGCGCAGATATCTGGCCCTCCGCTCGAATGCACTGCAGAAAAACATTCGGCTGCGCGCGAAAGTCGCCAGCGCTACCCGGCGATACCTGGAAGACCGCCAATTTGTGGAGATTGAAACGCCTCTCCTTTTCAGGTAGAGTAGTTAACAGTCGTGCATCTGTAAAGATACGGGTCCTAATACGTTCCCCAAGTATGAGTCAATTGGGTGCCAGGTATTCTCGGATGGCTTGATATTCGCTTACCTCAGCACAGACTGCGTATCTAATGTATGTCAATGCGCTCCTAGATGGATATATCTTAAGGTACAGCCTGAATGTGTGTGGAGAAATTAAAATCCTTTGCGTACTACAATTTTTAGATCAAGTCGTGCGTCTATTTGTGCTGGGCTGGTTTTACGTCGTACAGTAGTAGTCATGCCCATTGTCGTGCCTCACGCCACGTGCATGCGGTGCCAGGGACTGTGCTCTGCTTTGAAATGAAGGCACTCGCACCTGTTCAAAAATAAACACTCCGAGAACATCATGTATGTTTTGACCCCCGAAATAAACTCATCGCAAACACACAGTCCACAATATGCGCTATGGTATGCAATTGATGGGACGTGCATATGCTATCCAACCTAGAATAGTCTAAATCGGGCATTTTGTAACTCGCTATCTATTTCACAGGCGGACACCAGAGGGTGCGAGAGAATTTATTGTACCCGCGCGAGCGTCGGGTACGTTCTACGCCTTACCACAAAGCCCGCAACAATACAAACAGGTTCGTGTGGTCTCGATTGCAGTGCCTGTGTGGGTGGCTTACAATACGGATGTCCGGAAAGGGTCACGACGTGGTCGACCGTTGCTTCTGCTCGTAGTTAATTAAATGTCTATATGCGATACGGTATTAGGAAGACCTGCCACCCAAGGCGATATCTATGTGCTTGCAAGTTGTTCGCGAAATTCGAACCTCTAATATTGACCACACACCCGATATTTGCTGGCTGCTTTGGAGACGTTGCGCTCCGTATGTGTGGCGGTCAAAGCTCAAATCATATACAACGTAGGTATGCATGTAGATGTGGTGAATGACGTATGGTCCACCAAAGCAGGTATCGTCAGAACGACCATGTCTTACTGCATTCCAGTATATATAGGGCGCATAGCAAAACTACCTGCATCAATGCAAAGGACTAATGTCTACTTTATCCACCTGTATGTAAGGGCGTACATAGTATCGCTAATATCTATACTCAGCGTCGTTTATCCCCACTACACTTTCTATACCACTTGTGCCTGCGATGTGTGGTGTGTGCGTACAGTTGCTGATGGTGGGAGGGTTTGATCGCTACTTCCAATTCGCGCGATGCTTCCGTGATGAGGATCTGCGAGCCGATAGACAACCCGAATTCACACAGATCGATGTGGAGATGTCGTTTGTCACTATGCAAGACGTCATGGGTAAATGCATACATGTGCGCAAGGATATATTCATGTATCGATATGTGCGTATATGTATTTATTTGCGCTAATATGTAGTTACACATACACTTGAAAATTTGTTTGCGTACAATTAAGGTCAAAGCGTCTGTACTGGTTTTACGTGTGCCATGAAGGCAATCTTCATATTTTCTTGTCATGCTCGATAAAAAAAGTGCCTGCACATCGTACTCAATCTCGATTTAATGGTGGCACGTACAACGCATGTATGATACGTTTATGCACAATCACATGGCGAACCAGGAATATGTACACGTATTTGAGTGTATTACATTTTAATTTTACTCATACATCTTTGAGTACATGCATGTATGTCCCACAACTTCACGTGGTCTTCTTTGCCGCAGGCTTCATATTTATGTGCTGTTGTCGGACACGTGTGCGCGCGCAGCACTGTTTGATTGGAATTTTAAGTGCTGGCTTTTAGAAAACGTACAATAGCTTAAGTCAGAAAGAGCAGCATTTATCCGGTCGCTTGATACTGTTCCTATGCCATCTGTATAAGGTTGTCGTTCTGTCCAACTGTATCCTATCCCTTTACCTACCATAGCTTTATGTACAATTGTATTGGGGCTTGGGCACATGCCACACAATATTTTCTACGTCACAAGTCTCGTATTGCATATACAACTCCGTGGCTAATCGCTATCTTCTTCTTCCACTCTTATCCTAACACACTTTGAGCACAGACCTTGGTGAGAGAGTATGCAAGAACATGTGGGCAGCTGCAGGGTACGAGATTCCATCGCAATCCTTCCGCCATATGACCTATACCGAGGCCATGACATCATACGGTTGTGACAAGCCGGATCTGCGGTTTGATATGCGGTTAACAAACTTAGACGCCCCTTTCATCAATTCCAGCGCCGACTTCCTAAATATAGCAGCCAATGAAAAGTCTAAGAGTGTGGTGGGATTCAATTTGGGCAAATGGAGCAAGTCGATGAGCAGAAAAGACGTGGATGCTCTAGTCAAGCAGGTGCGGGCAAGCGGCTGCCAGACGGCCACGTTCATACAAGTCTCAGCAAATGGTGTGTCTGTGAACGTTGTTACAGCGTATCTAGGTTCTAAAAAGGCACAATCTGAATACATTCTGGAAGCAAAGTTTTTTTTTAATTGAGTGGCACGTTGGATGCCTAAATGGTTTGGTTTACAACATCATATTTCATATATGAAGACTCGGGCTGTATGCAGAAGTCGCACGTTTGCCTGCAAGCAGATTTCGTTCCATATCATTTCCTCTGTCGTCGTCTGAACTTTTCCGCGCTTTCAACATGGGAGCTGTCAATTTCGATAAACATCACACACCACTCCAACAACAGTAAGACATGCACTGCCTGCGCTACATTCTATGTTGCATAGCCCCATGCCACTTTAGTTGTCGTCGAGTCGCAACTCTTCTGACCGCGACACAACCCTCTCTGCTTTTGCGCACCCCAGATTCCGAGTGGACCTGGAAGTCATCTATTGCAAAATTCCTGACAAATGACAACAAGGAGCAGCTGAAACGTACACTGTCACTACAAGAGGGTGATATGGTAATAGTAGGCCTTGGAGCGACCAATAAGACACTCGAGGCTATGGGCAAGGTACGTCTCGTTTGCGACGCTCACAGGTGATCATTATCATGCCCATGAAAACACTCAGAACCACTCCTGGATACATATTTTTGCTCAATTCCTCACCGTTAACGTATCGTAGTGGTTACTTATTCGATGAAAAGATGTTTGTGGCTCAATGTGAGTTGATTTTTCAAAGTTATGCATGCTAAACCAACCATTGGGGGTGCCTGCGATGGCAAAAGTCATAAGCGCGTGCGATAGTGGTACAGTTGAGAGCTGCGTGCGTTGTCAGTCGTATTTCTTTATGTTTTTTTTGGTTCCACGTACGGTTGTTATATGCATGATTGGTGTGTGCGCATGTTTGACACGAGGGATACATGCTACATGTGAACTGCCGAATGTTTAGTCTAAATGAGTCGTTGTATAACCACGGTGCACTCAGTGGAGGAAGTACAGCCTCATTGTTGAGCGTATACCACTAAGATGCCGTACATCAACATGCAATACTCTGCTGACGTACAATCTCTCCCGTAATTTGCTGAGCAACAGGTGCGATTGCAGTGTGCCACCGAATTGGAACGCAAAGGCTTACCCGTGAGGCCTCTGAAGGGCTCTGCCAACGAGTTCGAGTTCCTGTGGGTCACAGACTTCCCACTCTTCACCCCCGAAGAAGAACCTGAGCAATCGAGCACGCCTAGCGAGAGCGATAGCAATCACAGCGCTACAATGCGGTTGGGTACGACCCATCATCCGTTCACAGCGCCACACGCCGATGATATGAAGTACTTGAACGGCACTGTAGAGGGCATGATGAAGGTGGGGAATATGATTGTAACTCTGGAGATGGTTGTATATGATATGTGATGTGACGTGATGTTGTAGTTTGTGCTGACGATCATCTTTTCCGCATTATTTTTATTGTTTTTACTTATTGGGCACTGTAACCCTTATGCTAAAGGGTATGATGTAAAAGGTGACTTCCAAACCAATACATCACTCTCATGCTATCACGATTGAAAGCCTTCTTACACATTGTGCGTGTGCATCACCGAGCTTATTTTTCTGTATTCTGTTATGATGCATTTGCGACCAACTCCAGTACGACCTTGATTTTATTCAATATTTCAATTAAAGCTTGTACATTTGCTTGTGAGTGTATTTATATAAATATAGCCTCAGCTCACTCACATACACTTACCCTTTCATAATATAGATCAGGGGTCAACACTTTGATCTGGTCGTCAATGGGGTTGAGTTGGGCGGTGGGTCGATACGTATCCACTCATCTGACGTTCAACGTAAGGTGTTGCAGGACTGTCTGAAGGTAGATGCTGAAAACTTCGAGCATCTACTGACTGCGCTAGAGAGCGGATGTCCGCCACACGGTGGCTTTGCGCTCGGTAGGTAGTCCATGTATTAGCTTGTGAATGTAGACCGTTACGCGACTGTGCCCAAATGATGCTTTGGCGTGCTGGTATGCGTATATATATATGACCAAGCACGCTTGCTTGGCAGGCCTTTGTTCATAAGGTGTGCGGTGCGGACCCTGAGTTATTGTACTTATTCACGTGCATGCAAATCCTCAAGTTGTTATAAGATGGCCACCAGCTACTTGTACAATTACACTCGTAGAAATTATTGCTATAGATTTACTAGATAGCTGGTTGTTTATGTGGCTTACGGATGGATCACGTTTTTGATTACTTTCCCATCCTGATGTAAAAACAAACAGTCAGAATGCTGCTCAATATTATTTCGGCATAAGCAGACGCAATTTACTTTATACACACACATAATATATATATATATATATGTGTGTGTGTGTGTGTGTGTGTGTGTGTACACGTGAGTGCATGTATGTATATATATATGTATATATATAGCATACATACGTCCGCGCATGCTAATCTGCTTTACGTTCTTCTCGCTATTTGTTAGGTTTCGACAGGGCGATGGCTTTGCTGACTCATGCTGAGAGCCTGCGCGATGTCATTGCTTTTCCGAAGTCGTTCTCCGGAAAAGGTACGTCATTGGTCAGTAATTGCTGTTGCATATGCTGCGCATGGAAGGGACAATCATCCTTGTTTCACGTCCGTACCCGCTTACGTGACCACCACAGGCGCTGTCCCTTCCTATCGTGACACACGCACCTATTTCTATTTCTTGCATCGTGCGATGACATGGATCTTGTGCATCCACATTCTGTACGTCTGATACCTTCTCCACTTTACATTCCTCTTCTTCTGTGATCGTTGACTCCGGATCGCCAGAGCCCATGACATCGTCACCGGCTCCGCTCTCTCAGGAAGATCTAGATGTGTATAATCTACAATTCAGGCCGGCGGTTAATGGAGTATAATACCACCATTGAAGTGAAAATGGCACTATCGATGCATAGGAGATGGACCTAATCGTAGCACGGAGATCCGATCATGATCGCACAATAGTTTACAAAATGGATGTGAATCACGTTGTAACCTCTCAAGTTGAATCGATACCTACTTGTGAAAAGTAGTGGTGATCGGCTAATAATACAGTAGAATTAGCAGAGCATTCAGGCAGCTCGTGTAGCTGTGACGTAAAATAGGCTATCAGACTTTAGTGGATAAATATGGCTGCTTCCGACAACCACCCAGACCAACGATGATTGCAAATTGATTATATCGGTGAAACAAAGAACATCATAGAACCCGGGCGAAAGAATCTGCCGACGATGAGAGTCAATCAGAGCACATGCGCCAGCTCGTGGATTGATCGACACAAGAGCGAAAGAAACATATTGCCACAAAGAACTTTGTTTTCTTCGAGATATTTCTCAGATTTTTCCGCAAATCATATCAGGCTCGGACCTTGCAAATGACCGACTTCCTGGAAGTTATATGCGTTGCTGCAACAATGCGGTAGTTTCCGATGCTGATGGGTTTAAATAGCGTTATGTTTAGTATGCAATAGATATCAACTCTTGGCGCTTAATTTAGAACAACATCGCAGTAAAATGCCTGAACAGAACCCTGAAAACATATATGCGCTCTGCTTCTCATGAGGCGAGTTTCAAGTTTCATACTAAATTCTTTATTCATAATGTTTTTGTATACGTCAATAAGATATCACACTCACGTTCGAGCTTCACAATTGATGTTAGCATATCCGCTGCGCTTCACAGCTAGGGTACGGGGTTTCACCATTTAGGCGGTGGTGGTATCCTTGGTGGTGTTGCTGTTGTCCTGCACGGATTCCTTTGCATCTTGAGCGGCATCCTTCAGGTCGTTCTTCGCGCTGTTAGCCGTGTTGCTCGCTTTTTCTGCTTTGTACCCAGCACTGTCGCCAGCTCGATCGACCGTGTCCGCAGCTTTCTGGCTGGTGGACTTCTCGCCGTACACGGCTTGGCTGACAGTATCACTCACGGTGTTCATGGCGCTGGTGGCTGCCTCCTTAATGTCGGTCACAGTGTTTGAGTTGGCGGCGTTGGAAGACATATTGGAGATTTGTTGATCAATTTATACTTTGCAGTGTTGTATTTTTGATTGATTGACGTAGGAAACAGATTTCACCCTCCTTTTATACTTTTTTGTCCGTTTTGTAAAAGCTGTGACGATGACAAGTTTTAAAATACGACCACATATCGGTTTTGAAACACCCCTGTGCCCTGAGGGCCCTCAGTGACTTGAGACTCGTTTCCCCGTCCCCGTTTCCCCGTCCCCGTTTCCCCGTCCCCGTTTCCCCGTCCCCGTTTCCCCTACCATTTGACGGTACATATGGACTTCAGTTTATTGTAAATACTGTATAACGATATAAACTTATACGCGAGACAATGAAGACAAATATTATTTCCCTTGACATGACAGAATTTAATTGGGCTAGGATTAAATGTGACTTTGGCAACTGCATTTTGCGTACGCAATAAAAAGATGAAATCGATGATAGAGCTGAGAAACAACTGATGATCCAATATTATTGGTTTGTTTTAACCTTTGTCTGTGGCAAAGTCGAGTCGGAACTTGGAAGTGAGAAGTCAGAGTGTCAGACTCAGAGTCAGAACTCAGAAGTCAAGACGCAGAAGGAGTTAGGACTCAGAACTTAGGACTCAGGTAAGTCAGGAGTCAGGACTGAGGACAGATACATCTGGATGATATGGTGCAGTGGGCCTGGTGCAGTCGCAAAAGATGATATGTTGCCGAATTGCCGATTGTGCTTTACTAAAACCCCTTTTTATTGTTCGTGATATTTTGATTGGCAAAGTCGAGACTCTTCATTTGCACTCGGCGTCTCAGCCCACAGGCTGGGCCACAGCCCCACATTCCTATCATGCGCCAATGTATGTATCTACGATATTTTTTATACACGATACGTATCTATTATATTCCATACGTTTCTCAGCAAACTCTAGTCTCTACTTTAGTGAAACTGGGGAAGGGTCGAGGAACGCACATGATGATAACTGGTGAGATGTTCGTGATATTTTAGTGTAAGAAGATTTATTAAGAACACAATTCTTTGGATACATGCAACCTCTTGTCCCCTTGTATGAGATACCCGCCGATTGTGTGCCCGAAAAGCATTGCAACCTCGCTTATTTTCATGTATTGTCGTGCAAGAGCGATTTTGTAGTCTTGTATTGCACATAAATCGAATTTTGTAGTCTCGTATTGCACATAAATAGAATGTGTTGTTTGAGGTGTGGCTAGCTTTCTTCACGTTGCAATTTCATTGCTAGATATCGATGGTTGTGTTTCTACATAGTGTGCTGACCCTTCATGATTGTTCGTCTTTTAACATGTATATGATATATCCCTCATGTAGGTTAATAATCTGTGTGTTGCCTTCAATAGGAATGTTTTATATTTCCTCCTTGTTTGTATGTTAGTTGGTTGTAAATATTATAATCGCAGCTCCAACCCCCAAGTGCATTACATTGAATATACATGCATAGATAATAAATGTAGAATCCTATCATATATGTGCTATTAATCGTGCAAACACTATGGACTTGATATTGTGTGACCATGTGAGAAACATGCGCAATATATTAATACTTCGATCCATGTATCGATAATCTAGTATATGTGAACAAGTATGTCTTATAAGAATATGCAATGTCCATAGATTTATGCTTTCTCGCCAATTTATTCATGCAGCACTTTCCTGTCATGAGCACGTATGTTTATTTACCAAGAGTTTTGCATAACCTTCGTTTTCCTTTACATCTATCTTATTCTCAGCATATACCGACGCGTCCTGTAGTCTGTATACTCTCATCTCCCAGGTGCGATGCATTGCACCATGCAAATCCAGCTGTCTATCTACCTTACTCATGTCCCACATTTTAAAGTACAGTTGTCAGTTGGCTATATAGATCTCAATTAATACTAGACTAAGCACGGATTGAAACCCGAGTATCGCTGCCCAAATCGCCGGCAGTGTCCGATTCCATACTTTGGTCCATATTAAAGTGGAGGACCGGAACCTCTCGTGTTCTTGTTCTCCGGTAAGCAAGCCACTCTGTCCGACCTCTCAGACACTGCAAGTAGCAACGCTTCTATGAAACTTGCTTTCAGTGAAAAATTTAGCCTCTTTTGACCAGTAGGAATTGTTAGTCAAATTCATCCCGAAATATAGATTAGAGCTGCTTTGTAAACTCACTTTTGTACGGGATTGCTGATTATCATTCCACAAGTATTAAAGCGATGTTAAAATACTCACTTGTATGATTCCTTTCGATAATCATGCCTTGCAGTTGATGCTTCGCTTGCTAAATGGTATAAACATGCTTTACATCCACATGATAATTCGGTAGTGATGCTAAAACGTAATATACAGCCATATCGTCTCGCAGTGCGGCTACACAATCGATTCATAGCTGTGTCATGTACACGCATGAAACCATTATCACTTACGAGGCCCACGCCTTGTTATTGTAAACACTAGACACCAGTGCATCATTGACGTATGGTTGTCATTCATTGTGAGACTCGCTCATCATCCTGGCATCAGCTGCCTTCGCTTGGTTGGGTTTCTGCACTCTTTGACGCTTCTGCGCTCAACCGCTTCTTCTTGGCCTGCTTGTATAGTTTGTCCGCTTTCCTCTTTTTCAGTTTGTCCATTTTCTTCTGGGCCTTAGGGTCGATCCCGTGTATGTGCTGGGTGACCTTTAGTGCCAATAGTTTTCTTGCTTCCTTGCGATTCTGTGCTTGCGATCGGCCCATCTGACACTGTATCGGACATGGTGCAGGTTTCTATTGAATCACCACGTCAAGCTAGGGTTAACCGAACTAAGCTGAGAACCCGCTATACTGTTCCCGAGTTGTCAGGGCTGTCATATCAGCAGGTAGCGCTCTATATAAAACTCTGAAGTTGAGCATACTAAATCGGTACAATACACCAGATCTTACAACTGCACAGCAGCCTTCAAGGTTACACACTCTTGTAGAACACAATCACAGAATAAAGCATTTCGAAACGAGATTGAGAACAAAATACACATAAATACACTCACCAATCACTCGGTAAGCCACATACATGAACGACTACCCCCGTGGGGATGTGCTTGAGCACAACTTGACTATTCGTCTTATTAATCTTTTGCCCGCCTGGACCGTTTCCCTTTACGAACTGCTCTTCGAAGTCAACTTCGTCCACCTCCATGACTATCACCGTATCTTCCCATTTGGGTCTCTTTTCCTTTTTCGGCTTCTTGGCTCTTTTAGGCTTAACATAATCTGTTAAACAAAGAGCCGCTTTCATTTGTTTAGGAAACCTGAAAAGCAATACACGCGAGCGCCACATCAGGACTTGCAAAACCATGAGCACATGAAAGACAGCAACGCACCTTGAAGCAATACAGCAAATCACCCAAATTTTTAAGCATGAACGAGCATCTTCGTATTCTGCCACATCTAATTAATTTTCCACAAATCTATCGGTGCAAGTCACTGCCGAGATATCACCGTGCACACCAGTCTTAGAACCGATATCGCACTATACTTAACCAGATATGTGTAGTCTTAAATATGCTTACGAGAGCAGCCTTCAGTATATGGCCACGATCACAATATAAAAATTGAAGCAGAGGACGGAGGAAGAGTATATATCAAATCTTGTGTACACATTTACGAATTTACATAATATCAGTTACTAATACAGAGCTTTAGATACGCTCTTCGTGGCCTTGCAAGAACACACCTTCGCCCGTGTGTAGATCTTGAGTTCCTTCTGTAGTATCATTCTGTGTGATACTACTCTTTTCGCTTAAGGTGGCGTGTTCGCTTTCCCGTGACGCTCCTTGTGAATGCACCGAACTCACAGTATGCAGTGAATCGCTATTTGAGGAGTTTGGGGCGTCTGATTGACGTTGCATATGAGCAAGCGTGTGGAATTTGGGTCGTTGGTATCGAACCACGCTTTTCAGGTATGTACGAGGTTCTTCCAGAGGTACATTGTGTATGCATCGATAATATCGTCGCTGAAGGTGTGTGCTTGTTCCATTATTGTTTGAAGGTTCTGAGTTCCTGTACTGTGTACCGGTATGGGAATGAGAGGCGATCAAAGGTGCTTTCATCAGAGACTGTAGCGTCGAGTGGCCTCGAGGGCCATTGAAAGCTCTGCGACAGGTTAAGGGAAACATGGTCCGATGTACTATAAGCTCGATAAGCCCACTTACTAGTTTGTATTTACTCATTTGTATTTTCAAAAATACACATTTCATATGTAAATACCTCCCCCTCTAGAGATAAAAATATGTATTTATTTACATTTGTGATATTTGAAATGGTTGACAATACCGGGTCCGATACATATTTAAAAATACATGTATTTCCGATGATGCAAGTTAAACGTTTTTTCCGGTCAAAAAAGTCTACTAGAGGAAAAATGAAAAATCTATTTTGAAAATAAAAAAGCCCTTGGCAAAATATCCAAAAGTTGAACCACAAGGCTCTGAAAATAAATACACTTGGAGCGACTACTCAAGGACAGTACCCATACAAAGCGACATAGCGCATCGATATCAACAATAAACGTATTTTTACGCAAAACGTATTGATATTAGGTTCATAAAGGTGAGATTTGTTAAGACTGCGACCACTATGCCTGCGACTCTCTGCGGCCACTATGCCTGCGACTCTCGACTGCGATCACTATGCCTGCGACCGGGTCTTGCGACCACTATTATCCCTATGCCTGCGACTCTCGACTGCGACTACTATGCCTGCGACTCTCGACTGCGACCAGTAAGTCTGCCTCTCTCACAAATGTTTTTATTGTCATACCTATGGAGTGAGTTACAGAGGAACGGAGTGATAGAGTAGTAATAGTAATATTATAAATACCTACCGTGCAACCGATACCCTTTCAAATTAAAGAAAGGGAGAAATATATAAATGGGATATGCCGTTGAGAATTATTTGCCATTATTGAATGAGAAAAGACGTTGTGCCACTAATGAACCGGCATGGTGTGGCACATGGGCTTTGTGTAACTAGGTATGTACTATTCATTGTCTGTCGGGAGAATGTATCAACAAAAAATGGCAATTCATAATCATGGCTATATACTGTTTCCACCCTTCTCAGATTTGTCGATTGAGTATACAAGGAAAGAAGAAGAGCTTGTGACGTACAGGTATGGTATGCTGTATATTCTTTCATATATCATTCCGATTGTTATATTGGGCATTCCCTGTCTCACTGGCATATATTACTTGTATTCACTCACAGACTCACTTAACAACATGAACGGAATGCTTCTGGAAATGTGTAATGGACCGTTGTATAAGAACGGAAGGCAGATCCGTTGGATGTGACATCAGAGAATGGAGGGTAGATCCGTTGGATATGACATCAGAGAATGGAATGCCGTTCCTTTGGATGTGACAACAGAGAATAGAAGGTCGTTCCGTTGAATGAGAAATCAGAGGATGGAAGGTGAAAATTTGGAGCATGGCAGATGAGAAATTAGAGAATAGAAGATGAAAATTAGAGCATGGAAAAAAAACCGTTGGATCTGGAATAGAAAGGCATGTGGATCTGCAACTTTAAATTAGTGAGGCCGATGGTTCGCGAGTATAGCTTCCAAGCAAGTACTATAGTCGGGAGTAGCCAAAACTATAAACAAGACAAAAGCGAGAAGGTCTTTATGTTTAGTATACAATAGTGTCGCGTAGCCTGTGATCAGCACTGATTGATATTTGAATAAAATATTAACATAGTACATTAGTCAAGAGTCAGATACATACTACCTTTACTTTTGCGACTTATTTTATCGCATGCGTCTTATATATGTGTCTTATACATGCAGCTATCGCGTGCGTCTTATACATGCAACTATCGCATGCGTCCTATACATGCAAATACTGCATACGTCTTATACATGCAACTATCGCATGCATCAAATACATGCAACTATCGCAAACGTTTTATACATCCAGCTATCGCATACGTCTTATATATGCAACTATCGCATGCGTCATATACATGTGTCTTATACATGCGTCTTATACATTCGTCTTATACATGCAACTATCGCGTGCGTCTTATACATGCAAATATTGCATGAGTCTTATACATGTAACTATCGCATGCATCTCATACATGCAACCATCGATATATGCCACATATTTAAGACGCATATATAGGACGAGACACATATATATTATGCCAGGTGACAGACACATATACATATTATGCCAGGCGACAGACACATATATATATTATGCATATATGAGACGCATATACAAAACGCATATATAAGACGCATATATAAGACGCATATATAAGAAGCAGATACAAGACGCATATATAAGACGCAGGCGATAGACGCATATATAAGACGCCGATATGAGACGCATATATAAGATGCAGGCGACACACGCAGACAACAGACGCAGGCGACAGACGCAGGCAACAGACGCAGGCAACAGAAGTATATATCAGACGCATATATAAGAAGCATATATAAAAAGCATATATAAGACGCATGTATAGGACGCATTTATAAGACGCATATATAAAACGAATATATAAGACGCAGATATATGACGAATATATAAGACGCATATATATGACGAACATATAAGACGCACATATAAGACGCATATATAAGACGCAGGCGATAGACGCAGGCGATAGACGCAGGCGATAGACGCAGGCGATAGACGCATATATATGACGCAGATATGAGACGCATATATAAACCGCATAAGACGCATATATAAAACGAATATATAAGACGCAGATATAAGACGCATATATAAAACGCATATATAAGACGTTTATATAGGAGATAAGACGCAGATATAAAACGCAGATATAAGACGAGATATAAGACGAATATATAAGACGCAGATATAAGACGCATATATAAGACGCATATATAAGAAGCATTTATAAGACGCAGATATAAAACGCATAAATAAGACGCTTGTATAAGACGCATATAAAAGACGCGTATATAAGACGCATATATAAGACGCATATATAAAACGAATATATAAGACGCAGATATAAGACGCATATATAGAACACATATATAAGACGTATATATAAGAAACAGATTTAAGACGCAGATATAAAACGAAGATATAAGACGCAGATATAAGACGCAGATATAAGACGCAGATATAAACCGCAGATATAAGACGCAGATATGAACCGCAGATATAAGACGCAGATATACGACGCTTGTATAAGACGCATATATAAGACGCAGGCGACAGATGTAATAAGCTGGGCCACCACACTAGACTCGATGTATAAACGTACTCTTAAGCAGTACGCAAATTATAAACGTACTCTTAATAGTACGAGGAACTTGAGTTTCCTTAATGTACTCTTAATAGTACGAGGAACTTAAGTCTCTTTAATGTACTCTTAATAGTACGAGGAAATTAAGTCTCCTAAATGTAATCTTAATAGT